TACAATGTCCTAGTATTTAAGTGAAAAACCTGACGAAGGGTTATAAACAAACTTGAAAATGTTTGCAGAAAGGAAAAGACCCAGTGCTACAGTGTAAGGTTAGATGCTTGTAATAAATTATTCTCCAGTTTGTTATAACAATTTAAACTTGATTAAATAAAAATATATATTACTTTATAAACATACATAACTTTATTTTTCAAATTTTTGTAGATACATTTCAAAATTAATATTTTTTATTTTATAATAAATTTTAAATCATGATAAAAATATGATCACATTTTAAAAAGAATAAACTAAAGAAAAAGTGACTCAAAAACTCTAAAAAAAATGGTGCATTTCTTAAATAATTTTTCAGAAAAATTTTCACAGCTATTGTCATAAAGAAATTTTACATTTTCAAATGTAAAAACATCTGTTAATCAGTATACCATACTAGAAGTCCATGGTGTTAATGATGCCTTTGCATTCAACTTTAATTTTATTTCCATTAATCAATGTATTACATCAAGTTTGTAACTCATCCAAGCCTATGATAATGATATATATACTTAGAGCATTCTTTTAATCCAAAATTTTTTTTGTTAATTTATCAGTTTAATGTTATGTGACAAAGTATATACCTATTTAATTATTCGTAAAATTTAATTAAAATATTTCAAATTATATATTAATTATTATTATTATTAATCACCATAAATTGTTTTCTTTTGTGTGCCAATGTGCAAATGTTTTTAAATATACTGTAGTATGCATATTTTATTATTTGTAGGAATAAATTTGATTTTTTTTTAACTACTTAGTAATAATTATTAATTGATTCATAAAATATTCTGTTTTGTATGCTAATATTAACAATTTTCAGGGAAATGTTGTATGTAAAATTTATATTCTGGGGAAATTTTGGATCCTGAAAATATTCTGCACATCTGCTCGCAAACACTCCAGAAGCATTAAGCAAATTAAATTAAAAGGACAGGAAAAGCCTTCAGTTTTACAGAAAAAAGCTCATGCAAAATATCTTTCAAGCCAAATAAACAGTGAATGCTACCAAAACAAAACAAAAAAGCACGGAAAAGGGTTTAGCGGCGTGGCTCAGAACATGTGGTTGAGGTCAACGTGGACATCGTGTCCGGCTCACCAGTTTAGCGGTGTGGCTAAAATCCATATGCGGCACGTTTCAATGCTAGGCAGAATTCATCTGGGCTGCATCCTACCTTGTCCGTGATGTCCACGTTGACCGCGACCAGACATTCTGCGTCCTTTGTTCGTCAGCAAAGATTAACTGAGAAACTGATCCAGGTGAATAATTTACTTTATTTGAATCAGCCATGCGATATTTACAATAGTGTCGAAATATAATACAAATCCAAGATTGTCACAGCTGTCGACTCCAAAAGGTTAACTAACATAAAGTGAAAAGCTGTCTCTCCTCATTGGAATATGGAAGCAAAGTGAGGTCAGAGGGCAAAGGTCATGCAGTGGCACCCTCTGACCTAAAAGGGCATTCATAACATGACATTGGTAAAACAAACAACTCAGAAGTAAAGTTACAGATGCTAATACTTGAGTAATTGAATTATGGCACCCCATAGTTTTTGACTGTATTAGAAATGATGGTCTATAGTTGCATTTGTATAATGTAGCTTTAAATAAACAGGAAGCTAGTACATCTCTATCACTATTTCTCCCAATGCTTGTGTGGTATGGTTGCATCTAGCTTTATATATATATAAAGAGTTTATACTTAAAATTAGAAATGAGAAAAAATTATCCAGTCTAAAAAAAACCAAAGCACATCAAATCACACTAATGAAAAATATAGGAGGAGAAATAAAATGTTGCATATGAAATACTCAAGCAGTTACGCAGTTACGCAGTTACCCACTTGTACAGAGGACTGATGCCCAAACTTTTCAATTGGCAGGCCAAACTGTGTAGAAGCTATAGATAGATTGGTCTCAACTATTTGGTATACTCCCTATGTACTGAATATAATATAATGTAAATGTATATATATAATACTTTACAAGCCTATTTCTATCATAAGTGATACGTCAAATTTTAGAGGTACCGAAATAATAGTAGTTTGGGGACCACTGATACAGAAGAACATAAGAAAGACATCCAAGCTGTAACAACAAACTTCGCATAGATGGCTAAAAATTATAACATCCAAATATTATGTATAGGACAGCACACATAATACTGTTATACTACTGGAGTCAAAACCATTATTTCTAAAAACAGAAAAAAATTATGATAAATGTTAAAAAGAATCAGGTAATTAACACTAAGAAAGAAAATGCCAGTTACCCCATGGATATTGGCATTAATGAGATGAACTCACAGAGATTAAGTAGTTTTACGTAATAAGTTGTTCTGTTCTAAGATATACTTTCCATTTAGGTGGATTGTTTTGTAAATCAGTTTTAGATAGGTTTTACCATAGTTTCAAATTTAGTAAAATAATTATCATTTTTTTGTAGATAAATAAATCATCATATATAGCATAAAATTTAACTACTAATTTTATGTTTTATGTTTTATGATTTTATGTTATATGTTTTTATACAATACAGGGAAAATTGGCTTAAAATGACACATCCTAAGGAAAATGTAACAACAATATTTTATTACATAAAATGCTTAATGATTTATTGATAGGTAATATTATACCAAATAATACAAATAAAACCAACAATAATAACTGAAAAATTCAGATTGTTTTTAATTAACAGATGATTCAAAAAATAGATACTCTTTCATTTACCCTATTTGCTAGAATAAAACCTGAATCAGTTTTTGCATAAATTGCATATAAAGTCGTTTTTCTCTCAGTGAGGCCTACATATTTATTATCTGCACACAAAGGACATTTCTTACATTTAAGACATGTCTTCTCTACCTGCACTTAAAAATCAACAAACAATAATAAAAACCTTTTAATATGCAATCTTTTTATTAAATCTTCTAATGCTTTCAGTCAGTTGATTGACCTTCAGGGAAAAAAAGTTAAAAAATTCCAATTTATAAAGAACAAAAAATCAAACATTATTAAAAATTTTCTTTTACATCTAATGCACATGTCCGGTATCAATATGTGAATAGATAATTACAATACAAGGGATAACATAACATCCAAAAATACAAATAAAATAAAAATAACACAAGTAACATAACCAGCAAAAAACATGCCTATTACTTTTACCATCTGTGAATTTTTTCTAACTAATATATTCATTTGATTCGCTAACACAAGGTGTGTTTCTATTTCAACACTTGGCAGTATTCCATCTTTATTTAATTTAATATATTCATATTAACCATGCCCTCTGTGCCACCAAACCTTTATTTGATTCTCTAAACTTTATTGTCTAGAGAATCAAATAAAGCTTGGTTGGTCTTGTGTATGTGTCATGCTTCAGCATACTTCATGTGTAGCTTGTGTTATTTTTGCCCATTCCCATTCCACTATAACTTCTGTGCGGTGACCAGTTGCTCATTTTGTATGTTACCTATATGCTCTTTAACCCTTTCTTTTAACGACCTCCCTGTGGCTCCAATGTAGTGTAGTTCTTTTTGAAGCCTTTTATCTTGTACGGGTATTCTATAAATTCCAAGAATAAGGCTCTATAAGGTCCATAGTTGTCAATAGATGTCCATACATAGCATTTTGTATATTGTAAGATTCCTTTTAAATTAGAAAAAAGCATTAGAAGAGTGCACATCAAAAGCATTAGAAGAGTGCACATTAAAAGGTTTTTATTGTTGTTTCTCCAGATTTACTGTATTTCATCCCATGATTGTCTCTGTTACTTCCTCTTGTTATTTTACTCCAACATAATCTAAATTATTAAATCATCTAAAAGTCACAAGTGCTCATTATCATTATATAAAATATTAGCAACTTGAACATTCAGTCAAGCAGCTGATGTTATTATTCATTACGAGTAAAATGAGATAACTAATAATATAACATAATATGATGTCTACAAAGACAAAAACACAAATTATTATATTGCAAAGTAGAATTTTCTTGATTTTCTTTTTCTTTCAAAAAAATACTCTTCATAATTTCAAAACTCTGTAATGATTGCAGTTGCTACCTTCCAAGCATCATATAATGGTAAGTTCAAATGTATTTTGTACCATTTTTCAAATACAGTTGAACTAGTTTATAACTAGCATGGATAGAATGACTTCAGGATTATAACAAACAAAATCCCATAATAATTTTAATTTACGTGTATTTTGCTCACGTTATAAAGAGTGTACTTCAAGGATATACCAAGCAAATTTCTGATAGCTCTGCAAACATTTAAACATTCATAACTGTTTAAGTAGTAAGAAATGCCATACCAAATTCTTGGAAAAAATAAAACTGTAAGTACTTAGTTTTATGGCCTGTTTGGATTACAAGCCTATTTATTACTTACTTTTTAAACATTGTCCCTCTCTTTGCTGACTACCTTCCAGACTTGCATTCTTAATTTATCTAAACACCACTACTAACCAAAATCAGGCAAATTATTGATTAGTATTATGTTTAAATATGAAAAAATAAATTGTTTAATATTAAGAATATTGTAGTTTATATAACCATTTTAATAAAAGTACACTATAATTTGATTACATAATTTTTGTTTCTTGAATCTAAGCCATGAATCAACTTATTGAAAATTAAAACGTATAGTAAATAAATTCCACTAATGGCACAGTTACAAATATTCCTGTCTGCGGGGCATCTCCTACATGTTGGTGTCAACAGCAGTTGCCCATTCTCACCCTAGTTATATCATTGCTCTTCACAAATGAGTAATGGTTATAATGAAAAAAATCTTGCTAGTCTCCTAGTGCTCATTATAACCAAGTTCAACGACACAGTCAATGTACCATTTTAACCGATGTGTCATTTTAGGCCAGGTTCCCAAAAATTTTTAACAACTGTATTTTTGTTCAAATTTCTAAAGTCAAAAACATTTTTATTATGATTTTACCAGAATCATTATCTTGAGGAGAAAGTACAGGTTGAGTACAGCTTGCCATTTTCACATCATCATCAGAGCTATCTGTAGATTCTTTATATGCTCCTAAATAAACATATGTTGATATTTAATAAATTAATTTTATGTATTAATTACAGAAGAGATTAATAATTTTAAAATAATTAAACTTAAAATATTTCTTTGATTCACTAACACAAAGTGTGTTTCTATTTCAACACTTGGTGATATTCCATCTTTATTCAGTTGATCAACTGAATAAAGATGGAATATCACCAAGTGTTGAAATAGAAACACACTTTGTGTTAGTGAATCAAAGAAATAAGACAACACAGTTTCAGAAGATTTTAAACTTAAAATATTCATAAATAAAAAATAAATATTAAAAAGTAATGACTATTATCCAGAAATCAAAACTGAAATTTTTTAAAAATTGAAGTTTTAATACAGTAAAACTTACAAAAGCCTGAAGTGCACAGGTCTAAGTATTCTGACTTAATTATATTAGATTTTATATCTTAGGCGGACTGAAATAAGAAAATGGTTGCTGCTTCAAATTGTGAACATACTTTTTTTACCAAATGTCAATTTAAATATAATATTTGCTATATTTATTGAAATAAACTCAAAATAAGAAAAAATGACTTAGAATGTAAAATACAGTAAAACTTTGATCTATCATTTTTGGCAGGACTTGGAGAAAAAACAACTGACACAGGAAATCAATTGACAAGAAATTTATGATGTTGTTATTGTTTATTTCATATCAAACGTGAATTTTTCAGTGATACACCTACAAGATGGTTCTCTGTAATACTAAACAATATGGCACTTATGTATGAATGTGTGTTTATTCTACATTTTAAAAAATTGTTAAGAATAATTTGTTCTGTTTTCTTTTGGTAAGAATACCTAAAGTATTAATATTTCAGAGGCAGCCAATCACAAAAATTCGACACTCTGTAAGAATGCATTACTTATATGGCAAACAACAACAGTACAGTATAACGTGCATTCACCATTACTAATAAATCTGAAGACATCTATATTGGTATAAAAGATTATGCGAAAAAATGCATTTCTAATTTTTCGGATAACAAATTCAAATACATGAATTATATGCATATTATGTACTGAAAATGAATATTGTATGTCACAATCTTCATTTTCAGTACATAATATGCATATAATTTACGATGGCAGCCATCTTAATGTCTGTTTTCAGTGCTTGGAACCTGACTGCACTAGTGCTGCAGCAGATAACTTAAAGCAGAAATTGCTTAACTGTCTTTTAGCAAAGCAACTTTAAGTGGTTTTACCAAAAAAAGCACCCAATATGTACAATAAAATAAAATACACTTAATTAGTATGTAAGTAATCACAAAAATTATCCACAAAAAGATAATCTGTCTTTCAGCGTGATTACAATATTATAGTATAATATTGTATTTTATTACCCTATTAGATAAGTACAGTATATTAATTAAGAGGAGATATTTGGGGAATTGGTTTAGTTTTTAACTTGTTTTTAACATTTAAATATTGAAAGCTTTTATTATTAGTACTCAATAATCAGTGTCTCAATTTAGCACCCTCTATTGTAGGTAGAACAATTGATGAGAGATAATATTTTTCTTAACACACAAAAAATTTTTATTTTTAGTGTGTTAATATTTATACCGATCCCATTGGTTTTAATAAATTGAATTAATATTTTTCTTCTAGTTAAAATACAGAACAAATATTCAGGGAAAACGAACTACGTGGGAACAAAAACACGGAAAAAAATTAACATTATATATACGGGTCCTTATTTGGAACTGGAAAAAACAACTGATAAATACATAAAAATGGTTGATATAGGAACGACAGATCACGATTTCACTGTATACATTACTGTATACAGTGAAATCGTGAAACCTCAATCTGTCGTACCCATATCAATCATTGTATATTGTAAGACTTTACAATCCAAGTTTTAACTTAAGCAGTTACAGATGAGGTAAAGTTCAGATTGGTTGTGGTTTTTGCAGAGAACGGTACGACAGCAGATTAACTGAGTACAAACAATTTTTATTATAAAAAAAAGAAAATAAATGAATATCTCATACAAATGTGAGTTACATGGACACTTTGGAATATATGGAAAGATGGGTTCATTCTTCAGAAAACAAAACAAAGAAGGGTAAAACTGTAGTTTCTTACCATTACAAATTTTCAACTTAATTTTTGTTTTAACACACACATATTCAATAGAAATTTCCAAAACACATGGAATTATTTTGTGCTGTATTGCGTTATTTAATTTGATGTGATTGCAGTGGACTTTGATAGATCCAAAAGCAGTGCAATGGCCCACACTAATTGCTTGATCAGGTGACATTTCATCATCATCTCCCACTGGAAGTCTGTCAACTCTATACCACATGCCATTCTGATGGTACCTGTGCTGGAAGATCTCTATGCAATACTCTCCTTCATACTTAGGCTAGATGCACATTGATGCAGCAAAAATATCTTTATATAAAATGTTTTTCTAAAAGTAAAACATATAGTACANTAATATTTAATAAATGCTGCTGATTAACATGTGTTTCAGTTTAATTAAATACTTGAATAAGATCGAATATGATTAGCAAGATTATATACAGTGTACTCTTGCTAATTCGGCCCTTAATAATTCTTTCTCCTAACTATCCGACATATATCCCAATGTGATCTGTTCGCTTCCATTTCCATGAAAATGTTAGTCATGCCACATCCTCCATTCCTGTTTACTCGGGTGTAATTTATGTGTATAGTATTGTAAGCGCACACTGTATTACTTACCCGCCTGCTTCCGAAAAAAATCAATAGTCTAAGGGCGACATATCACGTCATTCATTGTCTTTAGTACTACACACTCTTAGTAATCCGACATCCTTACTAATCTGGCCGGATTAGCAGGAATCTAGTGTATTCATAATTATAAGATAAAATAAAATGTTAACACATATTGTAATAACAATTACATTTATTCGAAGTGAATAAATAAGTCGATATATATACACACATCGATATCCATTTAAATTAAATAATGGCTCAATAAATAAATAGGAATTTTGTTTTAAATAAAACACGTCTTTCCGTATTTGAACACAGAAATTTACATTACATTTGGATTTCTAATGCAAGATTTCTGGCATAAATTAAGATGTAAATTTCTGGTTTTACAAATAAATTATATTTTGGAAACATTATTTATTTCCTTTTAAAATTATTAAATATATACAAAATAACCTATTTTATACATAGCCTAAATATTTCCATAGTTTAATATGGACAATTTAATATGTAGTTTAATACTACACAGTAAGCATTTCGTTTAATGTTCAACGTGTTAAACACGTTGACATTGATTACTTCTTTTTATTCGAAATAAACTTCTCAAACGATCTAAAATAGATCTTTTATTGCTAGTTGAAAATTGTCTCCACGCTGTATAATCGTTTGCGGAAGATCTCCTCATTATTAATGTACCACAGGATCTTAAACTACTCCCACAATAAATACAAGTAATGATGAAATAAATGATACAAATTATTATTATTATACCAACAATAATTCCGATAATAGTAAAAATCCTTGATCCAATATTTTGAAAAGNCAGCAAAAATATCTTTATATAAAATGTTTTTCTAAAAGTAAAACATATAGTATATGTTGAATAACTCAATACATAATTACACAAAATATTTTAACTTCAAGCAAATTCATCTTGTATGATGGCATGTGCACACTGATCAAGCAAAGCACCTTTCTGCAAAAGATCTTGCTACATTCTTTTTCATGCATGCATGGTGAACAGTTGTTGTAATTTCAACATTGTACTGTACCTTATAAAACCATAATGTTTTCCAATGATGAAGTGTGTGCAATTCTTACATGCAACTGTGACAGGAAGACAAAAAAGTGTTTGGCAGCATCTAATTAATCAAAAAAGAAGTGAAGAATATACAGGTAGGCCTCATACAACGTGGTAGATACGTTCCGTGAAAATACCACGTTGTGGGAAATTGCGTTATAGGAGACACCAACTTAATACAAAAACTGGGATTCGGTTCTAAAAAGAGAAAAACTTGACGTTTGAATGGCGTTTTCTGAATTTTTCAAACCAGCCATTGCTAGCCATGAATTTAAACCTTATTTCATCAGCCGACGACTGTCCGATTTGTTTTAAATAATCAAATATTTTTAAGGCTTTGTGTTTAACTGCATTTTTATTTAAAGGCAACCGTTTCTTGTTCATATCTTCTACCCATAATATTAGCGCTTGTTCCATTTTTTTTTTCATTATAGGTGCTCTCGGACGAGCAACATTTTTCGCAAGAATAGATGATCCGGTTGCGACTGAATTCCTAATATTTTCTTCCTATTGCTTAATCGACCGAATAGTTCACTCATTTAAAATGCCTATCACTATCAGCTATCCGCTCTTGATTTTTAATTCGATCCAAAATTTCTATCTTTGTTTGAAGAGATATATTAATAAATTTCCTTTCTAACGACGGTCCTTTCTTTTCATTCGACATTGTTATGGCTAAAATTTTTTCAAGCAGTTTTGTGGACAGTAAAAATCGCAAAAAATAACTTCCCTTCACTATGTTGTTAAAAATATACACCCAATAAAAGTTTATACTGTATTTTGGACCATTTTTACGGTCCCCACCTATTGAAAGAGTATAAATTATCAAAAATTCAATGATATATTTGAGTATTTATGGTAACTGATGCACATCTGTCTAGATACCAGTCTTCCAATGAAACTTTCATGGGAATAACACGCCAACGTCGACAAACAGCTGTTTTCGAGGACATTTAGCTCTGTAGCATATTACGCAATCCGTTGCGATTTTTCTGTTATGTGAAAGATAATTCGTTTCTAAATACCGTAAACTGCGTTGTAAGAAAATTTCCGCATTTTTCCAACCGCGTTGGAGCAAAAACGCGTTGTAAAGGTACCACGTTGTAGGAGGCCTATCTGTAGTTCTGAATAATTTATTAATGCTAAAACTAAATTTTGAAACTAATTTGATAAGATTTGACTG